TTTTTTTCCTCTTAGCACATGATAATTAAAGAGGTTAATTCTTCCATTTGTTCTTTATTACAGAAACAAGGACCTACTAATATGCTCTTGCATCATCTTGTCCAAGATGTTAAACAGGTAACCAAATTATGAAGGTGTGAAAATATCTTTGTACATTGCCTTAGCTGTGTGGCAGAGGAGTCACCAGAGTTTACTTTGTAAAATGTAGATTTTCTTTTTTTTTTGGTGGCTGGTAGGGATGGGATCCGAACGTGTGACTTTGGTGTTATAAGGCTGTCTCTATCCAACTAAGCTAAGAGGTCAGCCCAAGATTTGGATTTTCTAGTGAATTACCTACCTTCTTTACTTAGGATTCTGAACAATTTCATCACCAAACCACACTCATATTTTTTCCCTTAATTTACTTTATGTTTTTAAAGACTTGATTCACCAAGTAAATGACCTTGGCTGATAAAAAACATGAACCAGAGACTGACAACACTTCCATTCAGAACTTCAGTTTAACCGTGGGCCAAAGACGATAGTTAATACCAGCTGGAAATAAAGAACTGTGTGATTCTGTTATCTTTATTGAGGACTAAGTTGTGATTTCCCCTGTTTTCGCTATGACTGTTTTGAATATTAGTGACAACTCAGGGACTCTGTCACTTCTTTTGAGTCTGAGTCTAAGTATCGTTCTAGGGGTCAGGTGGATCCTGCTGCCATGTACACTGGCTCATGTTTGCTCATGGTTGAGTTAGGTCAGACTTCAAATCCTCTGAGCCCCCATTTGTTACCAACACCTTCCAACTTTAAAAGACTTTTATACCTAACTTTCTTTTCTTTTAAATACCAATAACTTTTATTCATATCCCCAGAAAATTGGGAATGTCTTTTATTTGTCACTATAGTTAAAATTCATCCAAGACACATTTTAAAAGTTCTTTTATTTTTCTGAAGTCTAATATCTTGTTGGCTTTCTGGTTATGTTGACTTGGTAGGAGAGCCAGGCTAAAAGGAAGACATTTACTTGGCAAATTAGTAGTAAGAAAAAGTATCCATGCAGATGTAAATTTAGTTTGCGTTGATTTATGCTATATCAAAATGATTTTCTTTAAATTATTTCCTTAAAGTCTATCACAATAAACTGAAGAAAAAGGAAGGAAATAGGTTAAATATACTTTTAACTAGCAGCAAATAAGAACACTATTTTTAGTGTTCTTTGAAAAAAGTAAATTATGAATGTGAAAAACAAAAAAATTACTTACATTCATATATATATAGATAACCTTATTTCTTATTTAAAGCCTGTGAACATTATTCACAATCTGTCCATTTCAGAGACTTTGTTCAGCATTTTGTGTACCTTTAAAAATGTAAATTTATTTTTAAAATTTTTTAAATTTTTTGGCAGCTGGCTGGTACAGGGATTGAACCCTGGACCTTGGTGTTATCAGCACCACTCTCTAACC